TAATATAGTGTTATTTAGGCAAACAAAATTTTACAACGAAAAGGAATAGAGGTATCAAGAATCAAATAAGAACGAAAATTACAAATTCTGTACATCTCATAATGTCTGTTTCTTTTCCTTGGTACAAAATACGATAAACGTGGGCCGAAACGGTTGTCAAGTAAGATTGCAATGCAATGCGTCACCGAAATGTTTAAAAAATGCAGCATCTTGAAAGGTAGCCGTGCCTTTGCATCAAAGCGAGACGAACAGTGAGCTTGCAATGATATAGACCTTTTTTAACACCTTGGACAATTATTTCACACGCCTCTATCATTGCAAGCTCACCGTTTCTCTCACTTCGATGCAAAGGCAGGGCTACCTTTCAAGGGTGCAGGAATATGAATGAGACTATTGAACGACTACTAGTTTTAAGGGAGGTATGGTCGCGTGACCTGTTAGTGCAATTGCCTTATTACTCTACAGAGAGCAGGTACCTCCWYCAGGGGTCCGTAYAGTSACAGGAGAACTCCACYGCCCATGACCAAGAGACGTTTTGGCTCTGATATATAGTGTGTAGTATCGGTATGGCAGAAGGTGGTAGATAGTAACACTTCTTTTATTGGAATTAGCAATTGTAMTAWGGTTACCAGAAATGCCATCAGTTCTGCCGTACARTATYATATAGCTGGTGATCGTGCCGTTAATACGTTTGGGTTCTAACCAGGTTAAGGTAATGTAAGATTTAAAATCACCACCGTCAGTTGACGCGGTTACGTTGTGCGGAGCTGACGCAAAATCTAGAAATAAAAGATTCAAAAGAAACTCAAATCAATGATATTAAATGATATGATGGCAATCTAGCTAAGGAAATCCTTGAACCATTAAACAATARCGCCAACTCCCAACTCCCAACCACTRACTATCTCGTTTATTCATCCTCCTATTCGTTTACCCAATCATCCATCCAACCACCCACTCGTGCTCCCATCCATTTATTTGTCCTTCCGTCCATCCATCAATGATGATTTGATGATTTATTGCTTATATAGYGCCATTTCTATATGAAAATAATCAAAGGCGCTTTACATTGAGTTGTGAATGACAGATTGCTTTAATTCATGCAATTTACAAGCATGAGAGATGGTTACTATGAAGTGTAGGCACTGAGGGTGGTCACTGCCAGGGTTTCATTACGTCCTCGGTGGTTCTTTTACGTCCCTCCAATGTTGGTTAGCAATTTAGCAATGATGAGTGTGGAGAGATAGACGGGGCCGCCATTTAAAGTGGTCATCCGAGCCACTTGAAAGTCTAACCATTTGCAGATGTAATTACAAAGGCAGCACTTTCTCCTCAGTTATTTTAAGACCATGAGTGTTGGTCCGGCCGGGACTCGAACCACGACCTCCCGCACGAAAGTTCGAAGCTCAACCAACTGAGCAAACAGGTTTTTCAATCCATTCGTTCATCTACCTATTTACCTATCCACCCATTTATTCCGTTAATCATTCATCCGCATATATAATGACTTTCTATACCATCTTTTTACAGRCGCTAATACATTTGGGGCACAGGAATTTAAATTTGCGTCAGAGTCAGTAGCTCGAACAATCTTTGCGCATGCGCTTGTTAAGTTGAAAATATGTAATGTATATTCATAGTTAWTTTTTTTGTCGCAGCACACATGTTTTTATTGAGCAAATATACAAGGTGTTCGCTCATCTGTCCAATCTATCGTGTTATGCTCCTTTCATTCTTACCTTGATCTATGCTGTTCGTGATGGTGGTAGGGACCAAAATTACAAGAAGAAAAACGGCTCCTATCTTTAAGCTGTCCATCATGCCTGAAAACAAATACAGTCACCCTTCAATATCATGCGTCGATGTGTTTACTGAATGTTCTGATCTATCGAAATATAGAGGGTTTGATTGAGGACTATTGTGCTTACGTATGTCATTGCCATTACGTATGTGATTTAWCGCTTTTAAATCGTGTTACACATTGATTCAGTCAAGGGTTACTCAAWTAATTTCTACACAAAATGATGGGGTTAGCKCAGAAAGGCTAGCACTCACGCAAACTAGCCTTTGTCCTGCGTGTGATTTCCTGAACGGAGCTGTCTCAGGGTCCCTATGAATACCAGCAAGTTGCTGAATATCTGTTATTACAGTTCTGCCAGCAATGAAAAAATAATTTTGCTTTGAGAATCATACAAGTGAGGTTATCGGGCCGATAGCGGAATGCTTGTTTTGTCATTTGCATGCATCCATAATAACTGCCATTGRCCACTCTCTCAAATAAACTTCATATTTACATTCAAATTTGTCGACTAAAACAATTGTAATGGAAGTGACGAAGGTAGTGCTTTCGCAATAACTAAAAATTGCTAAAGCAGTTTAAACCATAATGATATTTTGCTCTGACATGCACGAATATGAATTGCTTATATCTAGCATGTTTTTACAATAACATACAAATTTCTTGCACGCTGATTGGGTATTTTTATCATTTTTTATCGGCTACATTGACAATGTGATAACACAATTTATCGTCAATAAGAGGACAGACACATTAAAAACTGATGTCTATTTTTTAAAGTGAATCTTCAATTAGGTGAGTCAGTGTTTCAACATACTACTAATTGCTTACCATGAAAAGTCAACTCGATGGTTTTCCATTTTTTCTTAAGTATGGATCTCCGCTATATCAATATCAAAATCAAATAAAAGCCCCTTTCCACCTAAACAAGATTTGAACTTAGCTTCGGTAAATTAGGCTTTAAGAGGGCTAGTCCCTAAAAACCAAACAACGTGAACAGACCTTGAAATATAAAAATTCTTCAAACTTTGTCAGATCACAGCATTTGGGCTACTATTAATCACAAAACAACTCAAAGACATTGTTTTTTATGAACGAAGGCAATTTTGAWTTTCGSCGTTTTAGGGAGACTTTTGAGCTTGGAATACTACCTCTCAACCMAAGTTCATCATATTTATATCACTGGATTGGAAAGTTCCATAGCCACTTGAAGTTCTGTTTGAAAGATGATTTGACTTATTATATAAAAAAATGGGATTTAAGTTGAGAACCAACGATAAGGACAAAAGCTATATGAGCTAGCTTTCCTGGTCAGCCTTTTAGGAGGCAGTTTCTGTAAAAGCGGCCCACTGCATTTCGGGTCAGAAAATAGTTTTCCCTCGAACTTTTACCATAGAAAGGTAATTACTAGTAAGTAATGAAAATGACTTTATTTTCTCGAAATTCATCAAAACAGTTCATATACCTCGCCAAACGCATCATAACATTGTATCAAAAAGCATCTATTTTAATATATCTGACTTTCTTAAACGGCCAAACTAAGGAAAATAGACAAAACACAATTTATCTACGACGACAAAATGAACAACCTAGTTCAAAACAAGTGATTTTAATAATACGAAGTCCAAGATTTTAGTTAATTGTTAAAAATGTCCGTAATGTTATGATGCGTTTGGCGAGGTATATGAACTGTTTTGAAGTTTATGCAAATTGAGTGTTTGTAGTAGTTTGTTCAAGCGTTTAAGGTGGCTGGACCCCCTCACGCTTGACCGCTACCTTCCACGTTTGGAACGCTGGTGCATAAACGTGTTTTATCCGATTGCAAATCTTTTTTGCACATAAGTCACATAAAGATTGAATTAATGTTTGATGCAGTTTTTAATTAGATCGGACGTTAAGACACGTGACTATGAGGAAATATTTGTTTTCGTTTAGAGAACAATCTTAGCCTTGAACTCATTTAACGCGATCTAAAGCGAACGAGAAATGCAGAAAACATYGATCGTCTCCCAACGATTTGATGCTCTGGGAATTCTATTGTTTGCTAATGATCATAACGTCAAATTCTTTCGCACCATGCACGGTCTCATCTCGCTTGGCTGCTTTCCGACTTACTCCCGAAGTATGGTAATAAACAGTTGTTTTTTTTTAATTCAAGCGTAAGACGTTTGTCATGCTGTACTTTGTCAGTGTGAGTGAATAAAATCGGCGAACATGCCTCAAATAAAAATTGTGTTACTTATCTCGAGCATATTTTATCTCCTTTAATGTTTATTACTATACTTCATGAGTAAATCGGAAAGCAGCCAAGCGAGATGAGATTGTGCATGGTGCGAAAGAATTTGATGTTATGGCCGTATGAAATCCATTGTTTAGTTTTGAAGTAAATTATGCACTATATTTAAAGAATCTCAAATATCTCATAATTAGCTAGATAGATTTTTTCAAAAATCCCCACAAATGGAGGCATCTAGTATATAATCATGTGGTACGAAGCATTTTAGTGTTGAACACTCTGCAAGGCTAAAATTGTTCTCTAAACAAAAACAAATATTTCATCATAATCACGTGTTATGACGTCCGATTGCATTATAAACTGCATCAAACATTAATTCAATCTTTATGTGACTTATGTGCAAAAAATATTTGCAATCAGATAAAACACGTTTATGCACCAGCGTTCCAAACGTGGAAGGTAGCGGTCAAGCGTGAGGGGGTCCAGCCACCTTATATTTTGCGAGCAGTGACGACTTAATATGGGCAATTTTCAATTGATAATAAATGCAAATTTAGCGATAACGGTGGTCCAGGATTTATGCGCTGTAAAAAAATCCTTTTGATGAATTTCGAGAAAACAAAGTCATTTTCATTACCTACTAGTAATTACCTTTCTATGGTAAAAGTTTGAGGAAAAACTATTTTCTGACCCGAAATGCAGTGGGCCGCTTTTACAGAAACTGCCTCCTAAAAGGCAGACCAGAGCCGCCATCTTGGATTAAAGAATCGTGGACACTATTCCTGTACCTCTTTCGATTTCAGTGCATGGTTTTTATTACGGGGGGCATTATCTTCATCTCGAATAAAAGACATTGAAGATCCCACCCCCCTCCCCCGATCGATTTTATTTTTACCTTTAAGATTCATTCATATTGGGCTCTCTGTGACTTGCGTATCGGGAGTTCCGCTTTTAGGCAGTGCCTAAATATATGTATATTAGTGGAAATAAAAAACAACAACACATAATGTGTCTTTGAAGGGTCATATGAGACTATGGGACTTGGTAGCTCAGTGGTTAGAGCATGGCACCGAAATCGCCAGAACAAAGGTTTATAGATCCCGTTTAATTTTTTCTGAGTCTTTAAATTTTCAGCTGCATTTAAAGTTGCTTGATATACTGCGAAGATCAGCTCAATTAGATACACTTCGACCGCAGCACAATCATATAGTTTATACATATTCTCATATACTACATAAAGAACTGTTATTAAGAATTGAAGGTGTCGTTATATGCAAATATTCCCCCGACGTTAAGCGTGCGGAACGGAAAGAATAAGTTTTTAAAGTGATGTTTACAATATGAGCAGCCGTGTTATTTTTCTACAGAGAAATGTCTTATATGCTTCAAATTTTGGATTTGATTTTCAAGCGGCGTCATAACTACTTTTCTGCCCTTGACTTTCCATCCAAATTTACACAGGCTGCATTAATACAAKATGATGAGATTCTGATTCTAAGTTCCCGAGAATGAGGACAAAAAAGCCAAAAAGCTAAAAATATCACTGCTTGATTTTCGGCCATAGTAGGCTAAACAAGGAAATCTTTAAGTAAAATAAACTGTTAGTATAAAAATCTAGCTAGTATAATTAAAGTACAACATATGAAAAATCCAGTTAAATTCCACATTAGTTTTGCGAAGGCAGCGCCAGAGAGAATAAAATTGTCCAAAATTGGCTTTGAATTAGTTGGGATCTACATTAAAGCTATAAGCTTTTGTGGAAATATTATATGGATATTATAAATATATTTTCCCCTCACATGTTGTTTCAAGTTTCTCTAATTTTTTAAGAAAAGAAAGAATACGTTTGATCTTAGACTTTTATAAGATCATGCGCTCAAGAATGTGCTTAAAATAGTTTAAGCAACATTCGTTGAATTCATAAATTTAACGGATATCAGGATTTCTCGGTGATATGCAATGCGACACATTAAAAAATAATGATATATCCTTTGCTACAACGGGCTAGGTAATTTACGCCATAACATAAAACTGGAAGAAAAAAAACTAGGACAACGCTTATCGCTTACCTTAATGATCTCTATACTTGTTTGTTCAGATCTGTATTATGAACGTTTCCCGTTCAGCGTCCTATGCTTTGGTTTTCCCACGGTTAGTGCAGTMCGATGATGTTTTAAGTTCAGTCAGGTGTGACCACAAAGAATTTGCATCAAGTAGGAAGTAAACACCTCTGAGCTTGCACTGAATATGTCTGAGCATGCACTGGCAGCCTTATCATTGATTGGCCGGTAAATAAAGTATGCCTCTATTAAATAAAGTGGCCATTCTACAGGCAAGTGGTCCTGAAAAGGTGTTGCAAGAGAGTTCTGAAACCGAYGACGATGTTGAGTCAGAAGGTGCTGACAGCGAAGAGGAGGCAGAACCAAACGAATTTATGGAGTCCGATGCATGTGAGGGAACTGAATCCGATCGGATATCGCAATTGTTGAAACCAATTAGTGATCCATAGAGAAAGACGAATTCAAACCAGTGAGCACTTTTTAAAATACAATTTTCAAACATCGTTGCTGTTACGATTATGATTCAAATGGTATTGGTTATTATTTTGCATATTGTTGACTTATAGAAAACGTTCAAACAATCTTAACTCTACTGCCAAAAACTAAATTACTAATAAATTAAAAAAGAATAGATATTGAAATGAATGAATAAATGAATGAAAGAAAGAAAGAGAGAGAGAGAAAGAAAGAAGATAGTAAGGAAGACAAATAAATACCACGAAAGGTATTGTATTGGTATTGTTTTTGATTTATTATTTCAATTAAAATGGAATAGTTAAGACAGCATACCAAATTTTAAATAGAATTTTACAGCACTGAATAATTGAATAGGACACATTGAGTGAGTTATTGAAACAATTTTTTANAGAAAGAAAGAAGATAGTAAGGAAGACAAATAAATACCACGAAAGGTATTGTATTGGTATTGTTTTTGATTCATTATTTCAATTAAAATGGAATAGATAAGACAGCATACCAAATTTTAAATAGAATTTTACAGCACTGAATAATTGAATAGGACACATTGAGTGAGTTATTGAAACAATTTTTTAAGAATAAAGTTTTTTGAATAAATAAGGAAGCATCTCGACTTAGCAATATTGTAGTATTATATTACGGAACAATGAATTCCTCCACATTTTGAACCTCCCCCCCCCAGGCGATAAATAATGACCGGTCCAATAGTAGTTCCTATTCTTGACCAGATCGTTTGAAAACGACGAATAACATAATATATGAGTGTGTACTTCAGTAGAAAGAAAAGAAAACCTCTTCATATACAGGAATATATCCAGGGGTTTTAGGATTTCGTTAATGATATCCCATGTGGCATTAATCAAATGAAAGAAAGTAGAAAGTAGAAAGTAGTTAAGGTCATGGAGGTCCAACGGGGATACGTGACCGTATCTATCTATTTATGTATGTGTTTATTAATTTTTCAATTTTATTTTTGTTGTTGCTGTCGCGGTTGTACTATATTATACATATATATCTATATAAAAAATAATAATAATACAGGTGGAATAAAACTCTCATCAGCAATCGCAAAAGCAAAAGCGAGGCTAACATGAAAATACAAAAGATATCATACTTTACTATCATACTGTATCGGCCCGTGCATCTCAGTATTCCGATGGTGCAGCCCGTAAATGATTGCGCTGCAATCTTAMAAACGGAAATGTTCGATCGATGTTATTCGTCGTTTTCAAACGATCTCGTCAAGAGAAGAACCTAATTTTTTCCCTCACTCTCCTACTTTTAATATTCTCCGTCCTTGTTATTGATGTGTTTTTCACTTTTAAAGATTTGCTGTAGGTCGCAAGATATTGGTCCAAACATCACATGTAAAGGGTACAATACAAAAAAGTTGTCAATAATGGTTTTTATTTAAAAAAATATTACAAATGACTACAAATATTATATACAGTTTAGTTTTGTAGATTATAGAAGACAAAAATAGTCTATGACATTCCGTATATGTTTCGCGTAAGAATCAAAGTAGCACTTTCTTGAGTTGGTGAGATATGCCTCCGATATTCATTGGTCAATAAAAAGATATGGATTTTTGAAATTTAAAAATCCGCCATAATTTGTTACAAAAATCTCACAAAATAACGGGAATTTCGAATTTCAAAAATTATTGTTTCAGCTATATCTCTTCAGTTATATCTATTAATTATGTGCCCACCCGTGTTTGATGGTAAGGCAGATTCATGTTGTTGTCATGTGATGCATTTTTTGGTTTGTTTTCCAACTCGCTTTTATAAACTATTAGCTAAAAACCAACCAACAAATTAACGACGAATAGCAAACAATGGAAAAAAGCCTTCCTTCGCCATTTGCTTATGTCCAGCTTGGAGACGAGAGAGGAACATTTTCAATCCTCTAGAGATGATGCTGAACAAAGCTTTCAGTTAGTAGAATCCTGCCAGTAAAGTCGTTGGGTTATTAAATAATGAGCCCCTTCTCACTCACTGGCATATCGGCTAATAATGTCATGCACTGTGTGAAAAATTGTCCTCAAAATTTCATCTTTTTTCTTTTTTTTAATATCAAAATATTTATTGATAAATTTACAACAAAATAATATACAAACTTGAAGGATGTACATGGAATATACTTATAATCAAAATCATTGCATCAACAAACTGTAAATAACATTACTATTACGAGAGCTACTGATTTTGTTTTTTCCTATTAAATTTAGATTGTTCTTCTAATTATTATTGTCGTATATAATAGACAATACAAACAAACAAACAAACAAAACAACAACAAAAAGAATATATATTAATGTTTTTTATTTTTGCTTTTTATTTTTCACTTATGCCCTAGATCGAGGCTTCACTTTT